GTTTCTTGAAAAGAGTAGGGGTGTAACCCCGGTGTCCTGGCCAAATTTCCCATTGGCCTTTACCCATCATGGCCTCCTAATAATCCCCATCTCTGAACTGGCTTCATCACTATGCTCTCCTCCCTACTGAGAGCTGGTGTGTGGGGAGAGGACTGGTGCATCATCCAGGTGGAGCTGCACACTGGTGGGGGTGGAGGGGATCCCCATTACCTGTAAAGCACTTTGAGTGGAGTGTCCAGAAAAGCGCTTTATAAGTGTAAACTATTGTTAACCCATGTGATGGTGTTGGGCAGCCCCTGCTCCTCAGCTGGGCTCCTGTGGGCGAATGCGAGTCCTGATGAGGCAGGGACCTGCAGAGCGTTCCCAGCTCTTTCCATGAAGAATCGCTTTGGGGTCTGAGAGGGAGAGAGGCCTCTCTCAGTGGCCTGTTTAAACAGATATAGGGAGTGTATGCACTGTGTGTATGAAGCGTTGCCTCTTTTTTTTTTTATCAGTGCCGTTTGCTTTGTCCATGTAAAATGCAAGTGTATGTTCACTTTCTGATGTGGCAATGCAAATGAGAAACTTTAGAACTGTCCATATTGAATGTCATGTAAAATAGTCTAAAATAAATATTCATTGCTAGGGTATGAATAATAAGCATTCAAAATATATATGTTGTGGATCCTCATCTGACTTTGAAAAGCTAGAGAAGGTATAAACTGGAGCTTTTTCACGGGACCCAGGCGCCTGCCAGTTGGGATCCATGCTTCAGGTCCTGCAGGCTGCACGTGTAAACGGACACTCAGACCTGTTCATGATGGTTTTCTGATTCAGCTCAAACTTGGGGGTTCCAGTCAGAGAGGCGATGGGCCTCTGAGCAGCTCGGGGTGCCCAGTTTTTCCAGGTCCCCGCGCAAACCGGCCGAGATCTGTCTTGGGTGCCGAGAGGTGGAGAGCTGCTGTTGCAGTTGGTGAGGAAATGGTGACCGTGGGTCTGGGAACAGGTGTTTAGTGCAGAGAAAGGCAGTGCAGTTGTCGTGATTAAACCCCGCTAGCTTGGTGTTGGGGATGTTGTGCTAAGTTAACCACGTTTTGTCAGTAAAATGTATTTTGGGGAAAAATGAGATTCAGCATATTCCTTTGGCCTGGAGGAAGTCAGGAGGGAGCCATGTGTCGACGCCCGTCTCCAGGGCGACGGGGGGGCGCGGGTGTCCAGGTCTGAGAGGCTTGACTAGTCAATCTGAGGCCTCAGAGACCTTCCGGTTTGTTTGGTTATTTCAGACTGAGAGTGCAGAACAGAGTGGAACAAAGTAAAACAGAAACTTGAGGGCAAACTGCAAAGCAGCACTAAAGACTTTTTTTTTAACTTGTACTTTTTTTTTTCCAAGAAGACTGAATTTAGTTTCTGGTTGGTTCTTTTTTTTCCCTCCCCCCTGGATCTGGATCACGACCTCTTCCTGCCGGACAGTCTCCGGAGGAATCCCCTGACCTGAATCAATCCCACCCGCTGAGTGACAGCCGGTTTGTGCACCAGCACCTGGGTCCCCCAATCCCCAGTCCTCCGTGGCACAGCCTGGACTGAAACCCGGGACACCTGCCTGCTGTTAATGATCAGCTTGGCTCTTCTGGTCCAGCTTGTCTCATGCTGTCGAGGGCTCATTCAGATTCCGATCCGTTCAGCGACGCTTCAGTCAAAGGCTGTGAGCGCTGAGGCTTCTCCCCAGGGAAGCTGATATGAGCGGAAGCCAGTTTGCAACAACATGACTCCTTTTCCTTTCTCAAGAGAGCGGCAGTCTGTCACAGGCAGGGAACGGAGTCTCTCAACTAAAATAATAGAACTGTCCAGTTGACCAGAACTAGAATCCTTGCAAAGCACACGCCATAGCGAGCATGTGTGCAAAGAAAAGTAGCCAGAAAATCACCAAAGTACAAGAATGGTTGAATCGCAAAAATTAGAATTCAGTGTGTGATTTAGGGAACAAATGATTCGTTAACGAAGAGCAGAAGATCCAGGTTTCTGGAACATCCAGAGAAGGCGGAGTTGCAGGACAGCTGTGGTTGGTGTTTGTGGTCTGCGGCCTTCATTAGTGCTGTCAGCTCCTGAAAGCAAATCAAAGCAGCAGGTTCCAGCAGGCTCTGCCCTCTGCTCTGTGGTTTAACCCAGTGAGCTCTCTGAGGACGCGGTGGGCTCTGTCTCTGTGGTTTGCTTCAATTGCTGGTCCGGGGGCTTTGGGGGGGTGTGGGCTCTGCCAGTCCCTGGTCTGGGGGGGGCTCTGGGGAGCTAGGCCGGTCTGGATGGGTTTCTGTTGGGTGACTTTCTCACAGCAGAGTGCGACTGAATCCATTCAGCTCTCTCACCACAGCGTGTAACAAATGTGACTTTTCACCTTCCTGCCCTGTAAGAACAGGCGGGTTCGAAGTTTATTCAATAACACTTGTAAAAAGCTGTAAAATAGCACGCATGACACAGAACAGAGGCAAAAGAAAGAAAAAAACAAACAACAGACAACAGTCTGAGTCTGTGGCATTGGTAGTAAAAACAAACGGCACATCATAAGTTTGGGTGAAAAGTTTTAGTTAAATTTTAAAATGTCCGAAGTCACGAAATTCTGTAATTGATTTTTAAATTTTATTTTTAAAGTTTTTTTTTTTCCCCACATAAGATTCAGTTTTCAATCGTCAGAGTAAGCTGGATTTGACAAGGTAATTTTTTTTAGTGCCAGGGCTGTGCAGTGGTCAGCTTCACTGGGGGCCTGGGTTCAGTTCCTGGGGTGCTCTCTGAGTGGGGTCTGTATGCCCTCCCCGTGGTTGGATGGGGTTTCTCCCTCAGTCCAGAGACATTCTGAAAGGTTAATTGGCTTTTGGGAAGGTTGGCTCTAAAGAGTGTCTGTCTTCACTGTGAAGGACTGGTGTCCCATCCAGGGCGTACCCCGCCTCGTAAAAGATTAATTTCTTTTTGGAGCTTTTGTTTCATGTCGGTTCACGTGGTTGAAGCATTGTTAAACTCTATGGGTGGATAAGAGTTCCAGACACCCACAACCTTGCCTGTAGGCCTAACTGTTCTGACTTCCATTTCAAATACCGGTTCTGAAAGGTTTTGACAAGGTCAGACCTAAGAGTTGAAAGGTGTGTGTGTGTGTGCTGTACTATCTGATTTATCTTACTGTTAGGGGACCTGTCTGGAATACAAGTTAATAACTAGTAAATACTTATTAACCTGAGTTATTTAGCAAAATGGACATGGTGCAGTTTATATCCTTTTTAATAGTTCTGGGCTACTTGGGGGTTAACCTTAAGGCTTATAATATTGGAAACATGTTTTTCCTTTAATCAGTGTGAACAGTTGTTCGTTAACACAGCTGCAGACTAGCTCTCAAGGGGACTAAATAAACATTTCAAAATCATCCGGCTATACCTGATGGGGAGGTAAAAAAGTGGATTGTAGGCTGTGTTGTGAAGTTATGTTTGGATATAAAACGCACTTGTTGCCTAAATAAGTCTTATCTGGGGTTATAAGGGGGCAGATGATGGAACGAGACAGACTGTCCTTGCGTGAAGGCATTTTTACCTTTTAGTTATGTTTGTGATGGTTTTTAATTGTGCTTTATTGCTAATTTATTGCAGCATCCCGAGTCTCCGACAGGAATGCAGAAGGTAGGTGTGCAGGCTACTGGCTTTTAGATGTGTGGAAACCTGCATCCCTGTGACCCTGTGTGTGTTGAACTAGTCACTAATGCTTAGAATACGGCTTCCTTCAAATGCATGAGTGTGTTGAATTTTCAGTGAGCCTGCAGTTCAAATGCATACCTTTTAATTTTCCATCGATGATCAACTTGCTTACTTATGTTAACATTTAACGAGCTGAATTGCACCTTTGATATATCACTTAGATGAAAAGCTGTTATCTTTTAGACTGGAGATACAGCTCTTGTAGAGCCAGCGTGCGAGTGCCATTGTGCAAGACAAGCTTGTCTGTCTTCTACACTTAGCTAGTCAATCTGCAAGCACTGAATACCAGTCTCTTCTGGCTCATTTCCCTTATAGGAAAGCTGCCTAGGAATTCTGCATGCCTAGCGTCCTTGAATAGTTAATCATTCCTTATATTCTGCAATTTGATCAAACCTGAGAATTTAATTATTTATGTGGACTTGTATAATTTTCTTTTGGAAATGCACTTCCCTGATTCAGGCATTGTATTTTCCCCAGTGAAAGTGCCCTGCAATCATTTCTCATGAAGAAGGTCATTTTGTTCTCAGGTCACAAAGGCACTGTACAGGCTTTGCAGTTTTTTGATGATTAATGCAAATTATCAGCTCAGAGCTGTGCTTTATTTCTATATAAAAAATCTATTATTGACTTCGTTTAACAGTTTTGAAGCTAGAACGGCTTGCTCACTGAGTGTAGTAGAACAGTACTGACTGTTGGATGGGTAGATTGTAGCTTTTAGATTCAAGGATCAGAATAGGCAGGTTTGATTAAAGTGGGTCTCTTTCTCTGTGTGTGTGTGTGCAGGCAGCAAGCAGGTCACAGCAATGAAGGGCAAGAGTGTGTGGTGAGCTGTGGCCCAGCTCTCAGCTGAGAGAGTGCTGTGCTGTCTGTCGCTGGGCCGGTGGGTCACAGTTCTGTGCTCTGTCTGGGACAGCTGGCTGTGAATCCCGAGCGGCCAAAATCACAAAACCGGCCTCCTTGTCAACTTCGACAGGGTGTCTCGGACTGAATCTGGTCATTGACTTGTTTAGGTGCCGCTGTGCTGCTGCTCTTGTGACTCGTCTCGGAAACGGAGCTGAAAAGCAGGAAAAATTCCAAATGAGCCGATGTGCAGGACGGCCAGTTTTACGCAAGTTTGGAAACAAAAGGATGTGTGTTTTCAACTCATCCCAAATTGGTTCTCATTGTCAAGTTGACAGTACAGCTAGTGCTGCATATCTGCAGCTAGAACTATTATATTTAATCGAAGTAAATGAATAAATCTGAAGCTCAATACTACTAATGCTGGTCTAAACTATTTTTGTTTGGCAAGAAGTTTGTTGTAGTCCGTGGTGCCTCAGAAAGAATATGATTTCTGCTCCTGGTGTTTGTCATGTTGTTGGGGTTTGTGGAATTCACTGACCTCACAAGTCTTGCATTGTGAACAATCATTGTGTGCTATCACAGTGTAAGCATGATCTAATGGAAAGCTTTTTGATGATCGTATTTATCGGTAACCAGATTGGAAAATATATTTGCATTCTGTGTAGACGAGTGCTGCCTAACACTTGTCAGAAACTCCTCTGCTGTTTATTAACATGCTAATCTAGAAATAACACTGCTCACTTCTCTAGTTCCTGCTTGTGTGCAGTCGTGTGCATAGGACAGATGTCCAGAAACAGCTCAGCTGTCTTAATTATAACTTGCATTTCGAGTCTAACTCTTCGCTTGTGGTGGTTTGGTTGTGTTACTGTTTTCATGTTGGGTTTTTTGCGTTTGTAATTTGTGTTTCCAGATTATTCCTGTCTTGTAATGGGCACATAAACACACAGCTGCACTGCTGTGCCCACTGGCTGTGGCGTTGCTCTGCCTGCTGTTCAGGAAGGGAGGGTTCTGCAGTGTGGCCAGGAAGCGGCTGTTCAGTCTTTCCCTGGTCTGGGAGAGAAGTTGCAGCTCAGTGGTGTTCGGGGCCAGTTCTCTGGCTGCTCCGGGAGGATTAGCCCCACAGCCCCAGCATTGTCACAGTTAGTCCATAGGTGTACTGCTGAGAGCCTCCGAAATGTCAGAATTTTTTTTGTTTGTTTTTTTTTAGCGTTGGCCTCTGTTCTTAGAGATACCAGTGTATCCTTGTGCTGGAGTGTACAGCAGTGTCAGAAGGCTTTACAGTCAACTCTCAGCTGTGATTGAACATCGGTGCCTGAATGAATGACAATGCTAAGCTGGCTGAACATCCCCTCAGTCCAGTTGTGGGCAGCAGAGCGCAGGAGAGGTTGGGGGCATCTGTAACTGGAAGGTTGCAGGTCCAAATCCCATGTGGGACACTGCTGTTGTTCCCTTGAGCAAGATACTTCACTCAGATTGTCCAATTCAATTGGTACTCAAATGCTTGCCGGTATAAATGGGTACAAATCTTAGGAATTTTGGATCAGACCGCCAGCTAAGTTGAGCAATTTCAATTGGAGTGGCTGAAGTTGACCAGGTTGGTTTCAGAGTCCCAGCTTGCTCTTTTTCTCCGGCGTGTGGGCGTGGTGGGGGCGAGAGTTGTGCGTGATTGCTATTCTGGTCTCTGAGTTTCCACAGGCTGCAGCGCATGTGGCGCGTGATTAACCACACAGTGTGTGGCGCTGTCATGCTGCGCTCCAGAGTCACGTGACATCTGCCGTCGACGGGGGCGGCCGAGTCTCATCGCAGGCCTCCACGTTTCCACGACAACCAGTCAACAGCTGGACCGAGGCCTGCAGAGGCTGGTCTGGCTCCTGTGCGCAGGAGACCGAGGCAAACCGGATCTAGCGTGGCAGCCGGCAGGAGTGCCATCAGGAGTCTTATCGGGACCCCTTCAGTGGAATTTGTAGTTTTGCAGTGAGAAAAGTGAACTGTGCTGAATTTAGGAAATTCATCAACTTAAAAAAAAAAAGGTAATGTTGGACATTCTCCATTGCTTTGGGAATAAATCGGAGACCTTCTACATGCTGAAAGAAGTTTATTAGGAACCCCCAACCAGGGTGAAAATCTCTTTCTGTGACAGATTAACAGTGTTGACATTCCTATCCTGTAGCCCCTGGATTTCAAAGAATGTTTTGGAGGGGAGGTAGAATGGTTTGCTCCTGGTCTGGTATTTTACCAGGTTTCGGAACAATATAATACGTTAGACTTGAGTGTCATGTCACGAGTGGACAAAGCGCAACACATCGCAGCTGGCTGCTTCAGCCTCCCGGACTGCTGTGTTTCTAGAGACCACAAACGTCAGCATGTCTGGGAGATGAATAGTCAGGGAGGAACTGTTCAGCACATGCTGCTCAGACACACACATGGGGTATTTTGGCATTTCACTGCAGAAGTTGAGTTTCTTCCTGACATTCCCTAATTAAATACCCGTTAATGGAGTATTCTAGTCAACGAAGAGGATGCGCACTGAGCTGGTGACATGTCTGTGTGGGGACACGTCCGGTGAAAGGCAGGATACTGCTGGCTCCCCATGTGGGCGTGGTCCCGGTGATGGGGTGATGATGACCCTCCTAGTGAAACTGCGTGCTCTGTGGGGGCCTGGCCAGGAGTCGGGACCAGCAGTGCCGGGGGGGGCTGTGGTCAGTATCGGTTTGTTGCCAGAGTTTGGACAGTGCTAGAGTATGCTGGGTTTGGAAGAAAAGCATTAGATCACATTAGCTTGTATAAATGAGAAACCAAATCCTCCCACTTTTGCCTTGTGTGATCCAGGGCCCTCCCAGAGAAATCCGTAGACGATGTAGGGTGGTGGATGTGGTTGAGAAGATGCGAGAGGCGAGGTTACGGTGGTATGTACATATCATGAGGAGGGACGTTGAGGAAGTAACAAAGAGGGTAATGGAATTTGAGGTGGAAGGTAACAGAGGAAGAGGCAGGCCTAGAAAGAGATGGATAGATTGTGTGAGAAAAGATATGGAGGTATGTGAAGTGAGTGAGGAAGATGTGCTCGACAGAGACAAGTGGAGAAGAGCAACCAAAGCAGCTGACCCCAGGACAGTCTGGGACTAAGGCTGTGAAAAAGAAGAAGAGGATCCAGGGCCCTCCCAGTAGTCCCTGTGGCTAGATTACCTCTGATCTCAGTCATTCCAAGGATTGCTGTACATATCACAGGATGACGGCTACAGCAGGAATGCAAAGGCCTGGGCCTGTGTGAGAGTATCTGGTGTGCTTTGACAAGGCGGTGAGAACTGCCAGTTGTGTAACCTTAAAAAGCTGCAGACAGACGCTCTCGGGACCAGCTGCTTGTCTAATGATTCAGCTGGAGGCCGTTAACTGTGCTTTGTTGAGCAAGTTCCAGTTATGCCTTGGCAGGTCAGCACTATGCTGAGAACGCCACCTTGAGGGTGTCCCTGCCCAGTACCACTTACCTCCTGGGGAAGGTGGAAGCAATGATCCTGAGAGACGGTTGTGTCCCGTTAGGAAGCTGTTGTCATCCCTTCCTTGCTAAAGGCTCTTTAAACTCCCGAGAGCATCGGGGCGGTGTGTCCCCTCCTGTACAGGCAAAGGCAAACCTGTTCTGACCTGCCCCCCTGCTCCTGATCGCCTGAACTTCTGCTGGAAGTCCTGATCGTTCACTCTGTGGTGTGATTGTCACCGTGTCCCGACGGGGGGAAAAAATGTGTCTGCAAGCCTTTCCCGTGGGGCGGGAGATTGTCCCGATGGGTCTGGAAGCGATACTGAGAGGAGAGGGTGGAGAGAGACCGTGAAGGAGCTGGGAAAAGGCTCCGTGTGGAGAGGCGGCCAGGACAGTCCCGTTAGCTCTGCAGAACGTGGCTGTAGAGGGAAGCACTGGCAACAGGGGACACAAAATGACTACAGTCCACAGACGACACGGCATCCAGGACATCCGCTGGCTTTCAGATCATCTCCTCCTCAATTACAACCTGTTCCCCGTCCATAGTTGCACGTTTATCAAACTCCATGACTTCATGGGG